TATTTTTTGTTCTGTAAAAGTTTTCTGGGTTTGCATACTCAATTTTATCACTATATTTTATTGGTCTATTTTGAATCGTAATTAGGAACGTTTCCCTCAAGACCAGAATGTAAAGGAATTCACTCAGATTTCCCTCCAGTTCTCCTATTATTTCCTTTACATACCCGTTTGCAATTTATCCTAATGTTATCTTTTTTTATGGACCTAATTACTTACGATAACTTACTGAAGGTCTATGCTTTCCCCACTGACTGGATATGCTGCCTTATTTTATGTGAAATTTCCATAGGCAATTGGTTATATATCTGGATTTTCTGTTTTTCAAATTCCCATTTTGGGGTAGGTCATAATGACTCAGGTTTAACAGAAACCTGGGAAACTGAAGGTGGAGGTGGGAATCCTGGCAGCCGGGTCCTCGCTGTCAGTGCAGCTGCTCAGCTTCTGTCCGGGCCAGGCTCTCCTCAGCAAGCTGGCTCGCCAGTCCTCTGTCTTTCCTTACCAAGGGGTCAGCCAGCAATCGCCTGTTCTTCTAGTAACAGAGCTTTCATACATGTTTTTTTAAGCAACAGAACAATGTTTCAGAAGAGTTAACTTTTAAGAACAACCACTGGTGTCTTGATGGGCCTACTTCCAAGAACAGACAGGTCCAACTAAAGTCTGTCCTGAGACCAGAGATTCAGATGGCAAAGTCCCCTCAGCTGGGACAGGAGATCTGGATTCTTCACTGTTGCTCTTGGATCCCCAAATAACCTCAGGGTGTCCTGGTTTGACATTGACTCTGGAAGTTTATTTGACATTTATCTGTGTTTCCTCCATTCGGCTTTAAGTCATTCAAGGGGAGCAGGAAGAGGACAACTTAAAAATATCTCCTGGATCCCACGATTAGATAATTTAATGCCCATTTTAATGAAGACACTCTGAGGGGTTTGTTTTGACAAAATTGTTCATTTGAGGGTCAGTGCATAACAAATAACTATAGCAAATAGCAGTTAGGAGAGAGGCCATGGTACAGAGAAGAGCCAGCAAACTTTTTCTCTAAAGGGCAGGCTAGGACACATTTTAGGTCTTGCAGGCCAAGAGGCAAAATTAAAGATATTGTGTAGGTACTAATAGAATAATCGAGAAAACACATTTCCACATTTTTTGATGAAATTCAAAATTGAATATTGAGTATAATTTGTTTTGAAAATAAAAATCTATCAGTGAGAGGAATGGATTCTTTTTTGAAATAAAATTATTGGAAATTTGCATCATTGGGTTGAAAATAGTGTTTTTAATATTGCGTTGATTACACATGTCTTGGCTCACGGGCAATACAAAAATAGGCAGTGGACAGGATTTGGCCTATGGGCCATAGTTCCAAACCAACTTCTGGTATAGAAAACATGGTTTCAATATTTAAGTGCCCTAGGGGGTTCTGGCTAAAGTTACAAGGAGAGGAGAAACATAAAGAGAGAAAGAAGCATAAGTATTGGAAGAGATACATTGACATTTGCAACAATATGACCAAGTACCTATAAAACCGACAGAATCCACAAAATATTGGAACTAATTTCATTATAACTATAAAAACTTTCATCAAAGTTGCTAGAGACATTAGCATGCAGGAATCAATAGTAAGTTATTGGTATATTTGGTATATATTGGTATATTTCTCTATACCAGCAAAAACTCATGATCATAACTAATGATTAGAAAAACAACCTTTTTCACAAAGATGGAGCCCAAAGTGAAGAAGGAAGCCCCTGCCCCTCCCAAAGTCAAAGCCAAAACAAAGGCTTTGAAGGCAAAGAAAGCAGTGCTGAAAGCGTCCACAGCCATAAAAGAGATCTGTATGTTACCTGCCTTCGATGGGCAAAGACACTGTGGCACTAAGGCAGCCTAAATATCCTTGGAAAAGCAGCCCCAGGAGAAACAAGCCTGAACACGATGCCATCATCAAGTTCCCCCTGACCACTGATGAAGAACATAGAAGACAACAGTACACTTGTGTTCATTGTGCATGTCAAGGCCAACAAGCACCAGTTCAAACAGACCGTGAAGAAGCTCTGTGACATTGACATGTCCAAGGTCAACACCCTGATCAGGTAGATGGAGACAAGAGGCAAACATTCGACTGTCTCCCAACTATTATGCTTTGGATGTTGTCAATAAAATTGGGATCATCTAAACTGAGTCCAGCTGGCTAATTCTAAATAGAAAAATTTTATACAGTAAAACAAACAAACTGATGAAAGTGATACCCTTGTAATACTCTGGTTATTATTTAACAGGAAAGGAGTAAAGGAAAGACTAGATAATACAGGCATGCCACTCTTCAAGTCTGTTCCCTGTTGATCACTGGGGAAGGGACTGGACAATAGACACATTCCCAGTAAGGTCTGAGTGAGGTGGAAAGGTGCTTACCTGTCTGTCAATCACACCTGGGAACAGGTAATGGGTCATAATAGGTGTGGCCATTGCAAGAGCTTGAAACCTGAATATTTAAACTTCTGCACAAAGGAAGTTCCCATTCATGGCTCTTGGACCTCTTGGGACTCCTGTTGCAGGGGGCGCACTCCCCTGCATTCCCCCACATGGCCCTGTGGACGCCACACAATGTGGATTCCACACAATGGACTAATGGACTTTAAACAACCTGATGCTGGACTGGACTTGGCTGCAGTATGAAACAGCAGCTCTGGACACTGGCCTTGCTTTGGCTTTGCTGAACTCCCAGCTGCATCTTTTTCAGGACTCAGTTAAGGGGCCTGGGACTTTACAACTGAGGAATGTAACACCATGCCAATAAAAACCATTCATTCTCCTGTGTGAATCTTAGAAAATTCTCTTTCAGAAGATATCACAAGAGCCACCCCACACCCACTAGTGTTGGGAAAAATGGACTCCCTAATTTCTCTGGTAACAAAAGTATATAGGAATTAGCAAACAAGAATACACAAGAAGACGACCAAGAAGAAAATTTTAAAACTCTGAGAAAGGACATAGATGATGATCTGAATACATTGACAGACATGGGGCTCATTTGGGTTTGGTACTAGGAGGTCAGACTTCTGACCTCAAAAACTGTAGTATAATAAACTTGTGCTGTTTTAAGCCTAAATTTGTGGCGATTTGTTCCAGCACAAACAGGAAACTAGTACAGGACCCGTTTCTCCTGTCCAGCTGTATGCCAAGAATAGAGTGTCCTCACTGTATTTCCGATACACTGGTAGAGTTAACTCTTGAAGGAAGTGAGGCCTATATGATCTATTGAGTAATCCCAATTCATACCTGCCTGCATTGGGCCATTTTTCTGTGGCGCTCTTTACAATAGGCTTGTTTCCCACTCTTGACCCAACTCAGTTTGTTTTCAGACCCTAAGAATGTGTTGATGGGCAGTGTGGTAAGAGTAGGGACTAATGAAAAAACAACTTAGCATTTACATGACATGGTGGAAAATCCCCAATAGGACTTGGCTGTGACTTTGGCCCTCCAGTCCCTGAGCAAAGTGCCCCATAGAGCAGTAGTGTAGCTCCCGTTGTTGGCTGATTCCACCATAACTTTTATCTTTTTTCTCTTGAAAATAACCGCTCTGTTCTGTTTCTGATTTATAGACATATTTGCTCCTTGCTTTTTGTTGTTGATCCTCACCTGAGGATATTTTTCCATTGGTTTTTAGAGAAAGTGAAAGGGAAGGGGAGATACAGAGAGAAAGAAACATCAATTGGTTGCCTCCCAAATGCACCCTGACCAGGGCAGGGTATCAAACCTGCAACCCAGGTATGTGCCCTTGACTGGAATCAAACCTGGGACCCTTCACTCAATGGGCCAAACCAGCTAGGGCCACTCCTTGTTTTTGAGTGTTCTTAACATTTCATGCCTCATTTGCAGAAAATGTTTGGAATTGAGGGGTAGGTTTCAGAGTAAGTTTGATCCAGGAGCAGCTGAGGGTCTTCGTGTGCCTCCCTCTTGGCTGTAGTTTCCTGACATATGACACTAGCTAGCCATCTCCCACCATCAAAGTGGTCCTCCTTGCATTGATTGTTATGGTTGTTAATGTTCTAAACATTTCCAAGGATCTGCTAGGCCATGCCCTCTGGGCATTAGCTTTTCTGTCCTTTAAATAACATTTGAAAATGACAGGTCCCAGAATGACTGGTTGGCATTCTTCATGGCCTTCTGCATATATCAGCAAACCAGGCCAAGTGTGTAATTCTGGAGAAATAAGCCCGAGCCTTACTTTTTCTTCTGATATGAAGGCAGAGTAAGATATGTGGAGTGTCATATCCCTTGAAAGCCTTCTGTCCTTAAGCTTATGTTCATAATGACTGAGTCATTCTTCCTGCATGGTAACCCCCTAGCCATGTTGCTCTGTTCCAGCACCCACATGCAACTTTGACAGTTTTTATCATCGGATGTCAGGAAAGGATTATAAGTGGAGGAAGAACTTTAACTTTCCTTTCTTCAAAGCCCAGAAGCTCCCCCTCAGAAGAGGTTAAAGCCATTTAGCCTCCTTGATGATTCCTGACTGTACCAGTACAGATGGCTAAAGATCTCTATTGTTCACATTTCCTGGCATCTCACTTAACATGCTGACAGTAGATAACAGCTCTGGTTGAAGGAGGTTTTCCGAGAGCATGAAAGGATGATGCTCTGTGCCACAGAATGCATGAGGTAGGGAAACTGGGATGTGGAGGTGTGTCCTGAAACATGGTGAGCCAGGATCAGCCTCAGCAGCATCTGTCTCTCAGTACTCCCTTGAGAAAGAGAATTCTAGGATTGGGGGAAATTGTGAGGCAAGTCTCACAGTTTGCTTTATTGGATCACTAAGAAATAGGCCAATCAAAAGGCAAGCAGCATCACCGGGACAGAAACTGCTGGGGAGGGAAATTCTGAAATTCAGGAAGATTCTGAGAAGCTAGAGGACCATTATGGGTACAGAGTCAAGGACATTCCCTCATTCCCTTGCCATCAGCCCCATGTCTCTTTCACACACAAAGACAGCAAGACTGATCACATGACTGCAAGAATAATCATTTATTGATCAGGTATAGGAGGTCTAATTCATGGTAGAGTGCTGGGTATGGCAAACAGAGTCAGAAATTTGGAGGAAACCTTTGATTCTTGGTGAATTGTTGAGTCTGTCTAGAGTCTAGACAATTAGAGAAGATCCTTTAGATTCAGAGATAAGGCCTTCTTGGATGATAGTGATGGAGATCAGGTTGCAGACCTTGTCACAGGCTGACACAGGGACCATGGAATGAAGATCCTGGAGCCCAGGTGAGGAAGCATTCACTCAGCACTAAACAAGCAGATGAGAGAGAACACAGAAACTCATTAAGCTCTTCCTGGGTTGAATTGAAGACAAAGAGAATTTTTATTACAGAGAAAAATGGTGAGGAAATAGATATCAGTCTGTACTGCAACCTATGTTTCTTTCCAGAATAGGGGGAAGGAGGTCATTGAATCAATGGCTGGTTGTTGTTGTTTTTCTATTGCTTAACCTTTCCTAAGCTGAGTCTATGAGAAAGAGAGAGGAATAATCCATGAAGGACCCTAGGCTGGTTTCTGCCATTCTCAGCATTAAATGTTTTGAGGAATTTTTTGATAAATTGAGGAAGAATGGCAAACCATAGCTACCTTGTATTAAATGCTGACTTTATGCAGGCCATAGTTGCTAATATATTCCCATATATTATCTGGATAATGT